AAGCAGAGCTCATGGAGGTGTTTGCAAATATTATTAAGAAAGATGCTAACTTTGAAGTATCCAAATAATGTCTCCATTACAGGTCGTTGCAACCAAGATCTTAACTCCATTTAGGTAAGACTGTTTGCAACATCTACCTTCCAAATGGAAATAGCAATTGGAGGACATGAGTATATTATCTCGCAGCTACCCACACCATTTCTACTTGTAGGAAACTTCAATGCGCACAGTCCATTATGGGGATCTACTAGAACTGACTGTCAAGGGCGCTCAATTCCGAACTAATAGAAAGAGATGACCTTACATTGCTAAATGATGGTTCACCCACACACTTTTTTGCGCGTTGTCAAAGCTTCTCAGCAATTGATTTGGCTATATGTTCATCCACATTGCTGGACGTGTCCTCTGGTCTGTCTTAGATGATCTTCATAACAGTGACCATTTTCCATGCAAGGTGACCCTCGATACACATAAAGCCAATACACAAATTCCTCAATACTGGATCATGCCAAAGCAGATTGGCATATATATGAACAGCAATTTTCCTCCTTAGAACTTTCTCAGGACAGCAGTGTATCGGTAGAGTTTATAACAAACGTTATAAATGAAGCGGCTCATACTAGTATCCCACTCAGTAGAGGTATCCTAGGTAGACGTACACTACCCTGGTGGAATAGTGAAATTGCTGAATCTATCAGAATAAAGAAAAATATGCTAAATTACATTCAGAAGGCATCCTTCCACGGCAAATTTGATTTCCTTTAAGCGGGCCAGAGCTAGGTCTCGACGCCTAATGTTGGAAATCAAAGGCAGTCGTGGAAAGATTATGTATCCAGCATAACATCTGAGTCCCCATCAAGTGAGGTATGGAATAAAGTTCGCTCGATCAAGGGTAATGGATCACTAAGACAAATAAACCACCTCCGCAAAATAGACGGAACAATCATAAATAATGAAAATAGCATCGCCAATCACCTTGCAGACCATTTTGCTAACATCAGCAGCTCCTCCAACTATAATGAGACCTTTAGAGCCCAGAAAATGCAACGATAGATCCATACAGATTTTTCCACAAATAATTGTCTCAATTATAATGTTTCCTTTGAAATGCATGAATTAGAGGCAGTACTTCAATATGTCTCCAGATCAGCTCCAGGTCCAGATAAGATTAATTATGAATGATCGTACATCTACCACAGAAATTCAAAGTCATCCTGCTGAACATCTACAATGAGATATGGGTATATGGTGTATATCCTACATGTTGGAAACTTGCCACAATTGTACCAATTTTGAAAGATGGTAAGGATCCCTGGTGGCTTCCAGTTATAGACCTATAAGCTTAACCTGCTGTCTGGGTAAGATACTGGAAAGAATGATTTGTGAACGTTTAATGTGGATTTTGGAAAATGATGAACTGCTTGTAGGACACCAAGCAGGATTCAGGAGGTTTAGATCCCCATTGGACCAACTAGTCTACGTTGAGGACTTAATACAAAATGGCTTCAAAAACAGACAGCATACTGTGGCTGTAATGTTTGATGTAGAAAAAGCCTATGATATGACGTGGAGATATGATATCCTCAAGCAGTTACATCGCTGGGGAATTAGAGGAAATCTACCAATACTTGTATCATCATTTTTGACAGATCGTCTCCTCCAAGTACGAATAGGAAATACGTTTCCACAACACGCATCATGGAAAATGGTATCCCACAGGGATCAACCCTCAGCTGCATTCTTTTTACGATAGCAATAAACTCCATCACTGAGAATGTCAATCCTGCTATAAACCAATGCTTATATGTTGATGACTTATGCATTCTAACTTCAGGAAAAACTGTTGGTGAAACTACTCGACTTCTACAACCTGCTATTGATACCATCTTTCAGAATGCTAAGAACAAAGGATTGACCCTATCACGGATAAAAACACGATGTATCCATTTCCTGTAGGCTTAGACGACCACACTATGATCCACGCCTCTGTCTCAACAATGAACGCATACCCTGTGTATCTTCTGTCAAATTCCTAGGCCTAACACTTGACAGTAAACTGACATGGAGAGAACACATTGAGGATCTTACCAACAGGTGCAAGAGAGCCCTAAACCTAATAAAATGCCTGTCGTCAACACGATTCGGAGCAGAAGCTGAGATGCTGTTGCGGATATACAAGAGCATCATTCTATCTAAGCTTGACTACGGTAGCATTGTTTACTCATCTGCAAGACCGTCACTGCTTAAAAAACTTGATTACAGTTCACAACCAAGGATTACGTCTCTGCCTTGGAGCATTTCGTACAACTCCAGCAGCTAGCCTCTATTGCGAATCCGGAGTTGAACCTCTATCCATTAGACGTAAAAAACTTGCACTATCGTATTCTGCACAGATTCAAACACGACCATTCCATAGAAACTTTTCTATCATTTTCAGTACGGATGAGAGCTACATCTGTCGCCCATCAATAACAAGACCTCTCAGAGTCCGAGTTAAAGAATATGCCGAGGAAATTGGTATATCATGTAACCCTATCTATAATGTTAAACACAGAGAATCTCCTCCATGGCTGTCACCCAAAATAAATGTGAATCTCGAGCTGACTGCACTATCTAGGAATGACCATCCATCTGAACTCATAAAATCACGTTTTATGGAAATCGTTTCTGGATATCCGGCAGCAAGTTATCTATACAGATGTATCGCGAACTGACAGTGGTGTCGGCTGTGCTATAGTAGTCGATCAAACTGCACATCAATGGACACTATCACCAATAGCATCCATATTTACTGCTGAACAATATGCTATTTGGCAGGCCCTACGATATTGTGACATGTCGAATAACTTAACAACAGCTATTATAGCTAGTGACTCGCTCTCAGCACTTCAAGGCCTAATGAACTATGCATCTCGAGATTCCTTAACTGTGATGTGTCTTGAAACTGTCAAACATCTTTTAAATAAAGGGGTGAACGTAAAATTTCTGTGGTTGCCAGGACACGTTGGTATACAGGGGAATGAAGCTGCTGATATGGCAGCGAAAGCAGCAGCAGCGCAACAAAACATCGACATCCCTGAAATAAAAATGTCTGATCATAAAAACTACCTCATAAACCGTATACAGCGACGCTGGCAAATTACATGGGGTAACACTGATACCCACTTAAGGAAGATAAAACCTAGTGTAGGATCATGGCCACATGCTATCAGACTGCCACGAGAGGAATGGGTGCGCATACATCGCTTACGCTTTGGCCATACACGTCTTACACATGCACATCTTTTGCTCGGAACAGATCCGCCCTTGTGCACTGGATGTAACTCTTCACTCACTGTACGCCACATTATCTGCACATGTCCGATATTGTCCCATATCGAGTGATCTATGAACCATTTGATAACCTGACAGAGAGTCTCACACAACCAGAAAAACTGAAAAACGTCATATCATTCTTAAAAGTATCTGGTTTCTATTGGAAGATCTGACCTAATGAACTTTTTGGAAATGAACCATTTTAATTTTTGTGTATCTTATTCTCAACTGAGATTAAATGAATGTTATGTAACGGTGATTTTGCATCATACCTACCTTAGCTTAGTATTCTCATCTTGAACTAAAAGAAATATGTAGCAATAGAATTTGGATAAATCGAAATACTTACGTGAACGCAAACAAGATCGTGAAATGCAGATAATGACCACAAAAAAAATAATATTAATGAATATATGCCTGACAAATTTAGTCATGTAACATTTCCCAGAGATTATCTTTTGTTGCTAATAGAATCTGAAAGTAAATGACAATAGTATATCCTTTTCGATTAATATCTGGAATTTGCATACTTAGTTTTTTAAAATGCGACACTTACCACTTAGACATGTAAGAGATTATATATTTTATACTTTAGATTTATATATTATATTTATATATTATTGAATACGGCTAATAACCATAGAAGTTGACGCCGTCAAAAAAAATAATTATAATAATAATAATAATTATAACTATTATAATAATAATAATAATTATAATAATAACAATAATAAATATAATAATAATAATAATAATAATAATAATAATTATAATAATAATAATGATAATAATAATAATAATAATCATTATTATTATAATAATAACAATAATAATTATAATAGGCCGTCCGGCCAACTATCGGTGTCTTCCTGTAGCATTCCTGTGCGTTACCTAGCAGGATTGTTGCTGGAACATGCCGTAGGATTACCACCTTTGTAGCGTCGCTGCGCTAGGTGGTGTCCTGTTGCTACGGTAGTGTCGAAGACCGTACAGCCGGCGCCCGACCATCTGTCCACTACCTTCATCCTTTTTATGCCGGCTTCTCACTGCGCGTGTTGACCCGCGCCACGCCGCGCCGGCACGCGCCTCGCGCAGTGTGAAGAGCTTGGCGCGGGCAGGCGCGGCGTGGCGCGACCTATCCGCTAAAAGTCGGTAACTTCAAAGGCGCGGCGCGGCGTGTACCTACCCAGACAGACGAACACGATTGAACTCGTTCATTTCATTTTGACTCGTCCTACGTTGAGGTACTGTGGTGAATATGGAGTGGCCGAATGAAACGATCGCCGAATTTTTAACTTTGTATGAAGGCGAACCCTCTCTGTGGAATTCGAAAAATGCGGAGCATAAAAACAAAAACGACCAGCATGATGCCTGGCTGCGAATTAAACAGAATTTAAAAGGTGGTACCACACCGTTACAAGAAATTAAAAAGAAAAGGGATTCTTTAATGGGAACCTATAGAAAATTAAGAAGTAAAGTTTGCCAATCATAAAGTCTGGCAGCGGTGCTGATGAAATCTATAAGCCTGACTGGCCATTTTATAATGTGATGGCCCACTTTTTTGAATGATGTATACTCCAAAGAAAACGAAGGATCTGAGGTAAGTACTTTATTTACTTAAAAATTAATAATTATTTTGCCGGCAACCGCACCGTTTGTTATAAAATATTCTGCAAGCTGGTCTCTTATATTCTTGGCGGAAAGAGGTGCTCTTCTTGGCCGTTTTGGAGTGGTAGTAGGGAAGCAACTCCATTTTGGTCATCACGCCAAGAACCGGGCTGAATCTCGCCATCATCATTTTCGGTATCAAAGGATCCAGGAGGGGTATATATAAGTCTAGACCTTTTAGACCGTCTCAAAAAATTGTGTAACAATGCACATGTCATCACAATATCAGTTACAATATCTGGTTGTAAAAGCATGGGTTTTCTTAGTACTCTAAACACCGCAGACATAATGCCAAAGACATTTTCAACAATCCGTCGAGCTCGTGAAAGGCGGTAATTAAACACGCGTTCTTTAGATCCCTTATTATGAGTTCCAGCGTAAGGTTTCATCATATTTTCCGTTAGAGCAAATGCACTGTCTGCAACAAGTACGTAAGGTAGAGGTGTTACTTTCAGCGGTAAGCAGTCTGGCGGTGGAAAACCCAATTCCTTTCTACAGATTTGTTTATATAAGTTGGTGTTTCTGTATACACCACCATCGCTTATTCGGCCCTGGCACCCACAATCCACAAAAATAAAATTGTAATCCGCGTCGACTAAAGCCATTAATACAACACTGAATGTTTTGTGATAGTTGATAAACTCAGATCCACTATGAATAGGACTTTGTATTAGCACATGTTTTCCGTCGATAGCTCCTAAGCAGTGAGGAAAATTCCAAGTTCTGCGGAATCCTTTCTCTATCCTTAACCAGTCAGATGATGTCCGTGGCAGCTAAAATAAATAGAAATATTGTAAATTATCATGAATATTTCTTATTTTTAGGTCACTGACGACATAGAAGAAATAGAAGATAACCGTGATTTAGATGCCTCTGAAGATAGTAAACAGGATGATGAAGAATCAGTTCAATTTAAAAGACCAAAACCTCTTCCTAAAAAACGTGCTAAAAATATTGATATAGAAAATAAAATGAACGAAGCATACGACTATATAAAACAAATGACTCAAAAACCCCAAATCCCGCAAGATGAATGTTCATTATACACACAATTATTGTGCAAAAAATTGAGAGGCTTACCAGAAAATACACGTGAAATAGCGATGTTGGAAATTGATAGATTGATTTTCAATCTGAAGCAAAAAGAACTATCGTCAAACCCACATGCACAAATACTAATCAACCCACCACAGCCCACGAATTTTGGACATTCCGGCAATCTCTACTATCAGCCATCCACATCCTACCATCCATATCCTTCTCCACAGCAATCCCCAACCTATCATCCATCGCCTTCTTCACAGTCATCCCCAAACTATCATCCATCGCCTTCTCCACAGCAATCCCCAACCTATCATCCATCGCCTTCTTCACAGTCATCCCAAACTATCATCCATCGCCTTCTCCACAGCCATCCCCAACCTATCATCCATCGCCTCCTTCACAGCCATCCCCAACCTATCATTCATTATCTTCTCGACAGCCATCCCCAAACTATCCATCTCCACAGCTGTCGCAAGTCGAAACATCAGCTTCGCAAAGTCTATTAAAAGATTTCTATGAAGAGGAGGGTAGTAATTTAGTTTAAATGGATGATGTCAATTTCTATTTGTTTACGATTTGAAAAAAAAAATGCTTAATTCTACTACTTACTTTTATTTCTTGTGATAGTTCTTTATCAATGCTTTACAAACGTCCGTGACACAACTTGAAACTGTTTGGATAGATACTTTGAAAAGATATGAAAGGCTTGTGTAACTATCTCCGGTTGCTAAAAATCTGAGAGCAATTGCAAACCGTTCTTGTACTGGAATACATTTTCTCATATGGGTATCTTGTTTT